ACAGGAAGTACAATTCTTTCCAATATTACTTTTAAACGAGTAGTAATGCAATTAAAAAAATGTTAAATCTAAAGCTGCAATTAAAATACCTCTAATTCCAGCTGTGGTTTGAGAGTGACGTAAGTTCTCAACAAATTTTCGAGCATCGCCAGTATACCGGTATTTCTTCTTATAAATGACCAAGGGAGAAACAAACCCATTTCCATAAATCATTGTTGGATGAAAAACAAGCATTAAAAAGGAGGGTTGAAGTTGTTTAATATTACAAATGTTTTGGAGCTCTATTCAGTAGTTGGCAAGTCACACAAGGCTGCTCTGAATTCTTTATAATCTAGACACAAAGATCACAGCACTCTGGAAGAACCTCTGGGCTTTTAGTCAAAAATATGTTGGCTTCTATTTACCTCTTTCCTCATTTGTATCTATCAAATGGCTAAATGTATAAATAAAGTCCGGGTGTTCTTATTAGCTAAGGCACTATTTCATGCAGATTAATGCCAGCAGGTTTAGTAAAATGCATTTCTATTCAAAGTTAGAGTATGTTTTGAATTAATTTTCTTTGTGTATATGAATCAGGTATATTCTGTTTGAGTCGCTATGCCCATGGGGGCCAACCTTTTTGGCAGACATGCCAGAGTTTAGCCCTGCACCTACCCTGAGTGCCACACTCATCTCCTTCCTCTGTCTAATTGGTTACTCAGCTTTCTACTCCCTCCCTATGTGTCCCCTGCCCAATTTTCCTGCTCTGCCTTCTGTTTCCTGCCCTATTTGCTGCTGTGTTGCCTGTCCACTTCCTGATCTGCTGCATGTCACACACAGAGGCTGCCTGTGCCACTTGTGGCACTCATGGAGTAGGCTGGCCACCCCTTCCCTACTTAATGCTCAACAGCAGCAGATTTAAACAACTTTTGGTGGTTTGTTCAAGTCCCAGTTCGGCCAACCTTCTCTATCCAGCAAAAAGCTTCCCTTTTAAGCACATGCTTTATTCCCTTCACTTTAGTGAGACTTCTCATGCTCTTAAAATTCTTAAAATGCAATTTAAAGCAGGATTTTGATGACTAGCAGTGTCAGGGCCTAACTAACACTGTTAGCTTTCTCTGGAATACACAGATTTAAAGGTTACTTGATGTATATGTCACCAACATATTCATCAGAATTCAATGAAAGCAAATTTATGGCAACTAAATAAAAACTGCCCACTTCCCTTCACCCTTAAAGCCAGCTAAAATTCTGAAACTAAAACTAAAATGCTACCCTGACAATTAATAAGAAAATTCAGCTGCTTTGTGAACTGAGCTAAAACAGTGAGATTTCAATCTGAAGGCAGTTTTATTGAACTAATTTGTGTTTGGATTTTGTTTAAATAAATACACTGGACGTTTCCAGGAACTTTTTGATCAGATTGCCATTACAGATCCAGCATCCCATGCAGGATAACTCAGCATTTCGCTATTTTTGCAAATATTAAACTGCTTTGCTAGAGCTCTCCTGGCTTTGGAGTGGTTGGGTTTGTAAATGTAAACACCCTAACAAGCCAAATCCCCAGACTGATGCATAAAGCTGTGATGAAATCAGGGAATGGGGAGAGAATCTATGTGGGATTAGGGTGCAACACAAACTCTTTGGATCATTCCAGTGTTCGTGTTAAGGATTTAATTTCTGTGCTACAAAAACTTATTGTAATATACTACAATTACAAAACAGTTTGTACTTAGTCCACATTTTAATTCAATTACTCCAAGGTTGCATCAAGTGTGAGTTATGCTGGACAATGTATTATGAATGAATGTATCTGCAGTTGTGTACATCAGTGGGTCTCAGCTTCTCCATTCAGTGCAAAGAAAAATAGTTTGGAGACAATGCAGCCATTTAGGAAGGGAGGATGGCTGCATCCCCAGGAGCCTGGCCATGGCTCCTAGACTAAGAGCTTATAATGATCATGTTAGCACACCCAGGCAGTGGAGCAGAGGCAAAAGTCTAGAGGTTGTGACTTAGACTGAACTTTTGGTTAAAAGAAAGGAGCTAGTGTTCAGGCATCATAGTAAGGTGTGCAAAGAGAATAAGGCAGAGAAGCATCTCAATGAACACAAAATTGCAAATGAATGCAACCCCCCCAGGAAATAAGTTTTTGTCATTGAAAGTAATGATGCTTAATCATTATGATGCTTAAACTGAAGTCCCCTAAGGTACACACTAACTGATATCTTTGTCTTTTTAATTTCCCCTTCAAGGTGGCCTGCAAATTTTTTTTTAAGTGGAGTTATGCTGGGTTTTTTCCTTTTTCTTTATGATGTATTCAGAAGCCCTGAAAAGGAGTTTTCCAACTAAACATCAGTTATAATGATGTGAAGGTTTTGGGGTTTAACTTTAGAAATAGCTAGAGGCCAAACATAGTCTTCTCTGAGTTTTCCTGGAGGGTCTCAAAGGTCAGTGTTATGAACATTACCCACCTTTAATTAAAAGTTTCAAGGTGCTAGACCTTTAACAGTAGCTTCATCTCCCTAAACATTAAGTGGCCATTTATGCTAAGTAAGTATGAACAAAATCTAACACGATGCAAACCATTTTCAATGTTTGATATCCCTTTCCCCCCTCAGTGCTCAGCTATTGACTTCCATATCTCTGTAGCCATGGGATTCATGTAGGCTAAGCAAGCCCTGACTTCCTGAGTGTAGAGAATGAGAAGATGAAATAGAATAAAAAGAATATTTCTTTTTACCCTTGTTTTGTGATCACTTCTAAATTTGGGGATGTTCTTGGGTAAGGATTAGGAATCCATTTCATTATCACCAGCCAGCGTTTGCCAGCATTGAAAACCAGGCTGCTTCAGAAGGAGCCTCTTTGTGGGTGTCTTCAGTTTTGTAAAAAAAGAAATCTTAAAAGTTACCAGGAAGAAACTAGGGAAGCTCAACACCGCCATAACTCCTAACATTGGATCCCTGGCTTTTGTTAGAGTTCTGTAATATGTGCCTGAGTCACCGTTTCCAGGGCTGTAATCGCATCCAGAAGCAGAAAGAAGGAAAAGAAATGCAATCTGCAAAACTGAAATACTGCAAAAGTGTGGAACAGACCAAGCCTGTAGGCTCTCTCAGTGGCTGTGCCGGACCACAGGGGGGCACTCCAGCCCTACTCTAGCTGGCCTGTTAGGCCAATGCAGTTTTTTTGTCTTTGAGGTCCTGTCATTCTCTGTATAAACAAGTTACGTTCAAGTGTTTAGGATATAAATTACGACCATGCAGGCTTGCCTTGGAAAGAATGTAAACACAGCACTGTGGTCGGAGCAAACTCTGAAGCTGACTTTATAATTTATTGCAGGCCCCTGAGAAGCTCAGGGGGGGAATGCGGGGAAGAAGGGGGCATGTTGGAGAATGGCTATGGAAAGGGAGATTGCACAAAGGAGGCAAAGAATCATAGAAAATTAGGGTTGGAAGGGATCTCCCGAGGCCATCTAGTCCAACCCCCTGCTCCAAGCAGGACCAGCCCCAACTATCTCACACCAGCCAAGGCTTTATCTACCTGGGTCTTAAAAAAAGAGAGGGAGAAAGGAAGAGCAAAGTCTCCTGTTCCCTGGGTAAAGGGGCAAGAGTGATTGGGGTTGCAGTATGCTGGGGCAGGGCTTGCTGACTGGGGGAGCAGGGCTCTCCTTTAGCAGGATCTGGGCCACCAAGTCTCAGACTGGGGTGAGGGGAAATCCTGCCCAACACTATCCATGACCCCCCTTCCTCCTCCCCAGCGCTGGTTGGGGGAGAGCTGAGGATGGAGGCTGCCAGGCTCCCCCCAGCAATGCTGAGGCTTCCCATGGGCCCTTTGCAAGGTCCCTTAAGCAGCCTAGTGGGAGAGGGGCACCAGGAGGCATGGAGGAGGCCCCTATAGATGATCCCCGCAGTTCCCTGCCTCCAGCTGGCAGGGAGATGGGTATGGGGCAGCAGCTAGGGGATAAGCTGGGTTTATGAACTGAGCTGCAGGACTGTCTGCAGCCCTGGGATCATCTCATCTATAACAAGGATAATAGACATACATGGCCCAGGGCTTTCCACTCACTCGAAGTGGGGCGAGTGAAGGAAAAAGCCACGATAGCCAAACAGGGTGTTCTTACAGGGCCTGTCTGCTCTCTTCCCCACCCCCAGCCAACACAAGTAAGCCGTGGAGATGGGTGACCCTGCCTGCCAGCTCCTCCAGAGGCAGCAGGGTGGGGTCCACGTCCTCCCCCAGCTGCAGGGAAATAGGGGGTCGGAAGGAGCAGGGTGGAAAAGGCAGCCCTAGCAGTCAGTGCCTGGCTCTTGGTACAACACAAAGCTCAGGGCACTGCCATCAGTTGCTTGGATATGCTGTTATTGCCAAGCACAGAAAACTCAAGGGTGTGTGTGTGTTTGCGTGTGTGTGTGTGTGTGTGTGGATGGTGGGTCAGACCCCCGCCTGGCCAGCTCAGATCCCAATATGGATCAGCTGTTTGGAAGAGATACTGTTAGGTTTAAGAGGACAAGTCCGAGGACCACGACAGTGACAGGAACAGCCTGTCCAGTGGGTGTTGGTTTATATACATTTTATTGGAAAACAACAACAACAACAAAACCAAAAAATTTTGTACATCAAAATAGTTTGGCAAAACTGTAAAAGTTATACATAAGTGCAAATATATTCTCCTTTTAAAGCAATAGTGTGTGAGTATACACAAGGTTTGTTTAAAATATTATTTTAAAAAATACTGTGGTAGAAAACTTTGTAAAAAATATCGAAACACAACGGTGTGTTGCCGCAATCCGGGGGAGGGGCGGGGGGACAACGGACTTTCTTAAAGTCTATACACCAAGTTTCTAAACACCATTGCTGTAATACTATCAATCGGTGCTGGAGTCCGCAAGAGTATTTTGCTTTCCCCCCCCTTCGGAAAAAAAGAAGTTAATTTTAACACTACAGCAACAGAAAGGGGGTTTCTCGCAGGTGTTGGGATTGAGGAAGGGTTTGTTTTTTTCTGTCCACTCTCCTGAAACATTTTTTAATAGGAGAAATGGCCCCCTTTCCCAAAGCTTAATTCGCCAGGAGAATGGAGATCGCAGAAATGCATTGGATGATTAACCTGCTCGGACTTCCCATGCAGAGACCAGTCCCCGGCCCTTCCCAAACACAGGCACAAAAGAAAATCTTTCGGTGGGGCGGGGGCGGAGGGGGGAAGCTGGGAGCTGTTATATCATCTGGGCCTGTCCTTCAAGGAGTGGCCGGGCGGACACTGCCGACACTTCTGCCTTGGGGAGCGACTCGTGCTAAGTGACTCGTGTTGTGTTGAATGCTACCAGAGTGCACATTACATTGGACCTGCGTGAGCCCCGCTATACCTCCGACCTGTTACACAGCCCCCCGATCGTCTGTCTGTCCGCCTGCCTGGGCTCACTGCCGCGCGCTTCACATCACGCAGGGCTTGATGTCTTGACAGACGCTTTGGTGGTGATGGTGGTGATAATAGGATCCGCTGGCGGATGGGTGGAAAGAAGAAATGCCATTGAAATTGAGAACGAAATCTTTCCGGTCACACACTGGGGAAGAGTGATGCTGGTAGCGAGGCAATCCCACTGCAAGAGAGGAGAAGAACATAACACGGGTGAAGGCAGGCTGGCAGCCCGGTTGGGCCAGTTGCCGCGCATCAGGAGGCCCCGCTCCCGGAGGGCTGATCTGGCCACGAGCCTGTCAAGATCTCGTGTCCCGGGAGCAGGCCCCTCGCCGCAGTGAACAGCTGTCCGCGTGCGTGGGTTTGCCCCTCCGCGGGCAGCCATCCCTGCTGCTCTGCCTGGCCGCGGGTGTGTGCGCGGCTGTATCGGGGCGTGGATGCGCTGCTGCACCAGACCGCTGGTATATTTTCCTGAGCCTGCTTCACCCCCTCCCAGGTCAATCGGGGACTCGCTCCCGGCTTTGCCTGCCAGAGGGAGCCCAGGGAGAAGGAGCCCCGCTGCCGGTCTGTGTCCAGGAGGCGGGGGCCAGGCTCCCGTGTCACCTACCTCCGGTCAGGACAGAGGCCGCTCCGTGAGTGCGTGTGGACCGCGGGGAGAAAGCAAAGTCCTCCTGAACCCGCTCGCCCACGAGCACGTCTCGGCCTGCCTTGCCAAGTCCCGCGGCTCCCCGCGGTGGGTCGGCGTCCGGTGGCCTTCGGGCAGCTCGGCTCTGCAGCCGCGGGGCTGAGCAGAGGGTCCCGATCCCGGGCATTGCTCTCACTGAAGCCGGGGGGGACTGGCTTGGGGCAATGCTGCGGGGCGGGACGTGGCCCCGGACATCGGCTCCGATTGGGATGAAATGGGGACGGGGCGGGGAGGCCATGAACTGGGTGGGTTTTTTTGCATGGACTTTGGGATCGCGGGCGGAAGGAGCTATACTGGATGCGCTCTTCTCCCGCGGGGGAGTAAGAAGCCCCCTGGCAGCCCCGGACATATCTCAGGGTAAGGCGGATAAAGCTCCACCGAGCGCTGCGGCAGCAGGTCCCGCCTGCCCCCGGCTCACCCAGCCGCAGAAAAGCCATAAACCCGGGCGCTTTCTTGCAATCCGGAACTAGGGTTTATCACAGCGTCCGAAACCCCCCGCTCAAAACCCGCTTCCCCCGAGCCTGCAGGGAGACCGCGCCTCTGGTCCCAATCTCGGCCAGTTCCTCTCCGGGCCGGTGCTAGCCCGAGGCTCCCAGCCTGCCCTGTAAGGCGAAGGCTGATGAGCCGGTGATTGGAGATCGGTTTCTCCCCGGGTTAAACCCCCCCCCCAACCAAACAACCCCCCTTGCAGCCTACCCTGCTATAAAAAATGGACCTGCAGCAGCGCGCTTGATGCCCTCTCGGATGCTGACTTGTCATAGCTCCACTTACTTGGCTGAGACTGATCCCAAATCATGGTTACCTCCCGCCCCCCCCAACACACACGTACTTGCCCCGCAGACCGTTCTCCACAACGCCAGCGGGGTTGTGTTGCTCCGCACGTGCGAGGCATTGTTAAGCAACCAGGCAATTAGCTTTCGAGCTGCTTTCATTACAGTCATGGACCATTAATCCTGGCATCGGATTTTTAAACAAGAGCCCGCCGCTGGAATTATTGGGGGGGATCTGCCTGGCGAGGATGCTGCCACTGGAGTCCCGGGGAGGGACATGAATGTGTCCCTTGTGACACAAACGGTCCCACTAGAACTGCTCGTTTGTCTAGAAATGTGCGTCGGTCTGGCTGTCTCTCGGACCTGCAGTTCTCTTTCTGTCTCACTGCCCTTCACGTATCCCCGTCTTGGAAAGATTTGCGCATTTTTCGCTGTAACACAAAGCCTTTTCTTCTAATACACGCACACGCATACACGCAAATATATGTCAGAATCAGAGAGGGCATCAAGTCCAATATATATAGAGAAGCCCTATATATATGGGTACACACACGTATGTACACACACACAGAGCCCCAAATAGAGCTGTCTCTGACCTTCTCTTCATTCCCCCAGCTCTACTGGGTTTGGGGCTTTTTTGTTTTGGTTTTTGTTTTTGTTTGTTTTTTAATCTCGGGTCTATGGAAGGAGGGGGTGCACTTGGCGTCCTGCTCGGGGTTTGATCACAGGCTTCAGGTCGACCCGCTCCTGCGATGAGGTAATTTGCTATGTTTGCTTGTTATTTGTCAAGGTTAAATTTGTTGCTGGTGGCTGCCACGGGAGGAGGGATGGGTTGGTCTCAGAGTGGGAGAGAAGAAGCCATTCTTCACCCGTGTGTCTGCACGTCAGCCGGACCAGGGGTGATGTCTGCCCGGTTCTCATCACGAAACTATGGTGAGAAATGGGCTGAATATGGACCACGGGACTGATAACGCAACAAAGCCCAGATGTGGCCTTTTCTGTTTACAAATCGGCTGCAGCGCAGATCGCATTTGTGCAGACTGGAAATTTCGGGGGAGAGGTGGTCTCGGTCACTCTTCTCTCCGGACTAAGGTCCATTTCTCCGGAGCTGCTGCAAAAACTTAAATCCCAGCAGCCGCTGTTGCCCCTTTAGCCACCCGCTTCCCGTGCCATCGTCGAGGTACCAAAGCTGAGTGGTTTTTACATTGTTTCATGGAGCTAAAAGATTTCGGGCAGTTTCACGGAGCTAAATTTCAGGCAAGGCACGAACTCGAAGGTGGGGGAAAGCGGGGGAAGGGTGTGTGTGTGTGTGTGTGTGGGGGGGGGTGCTCCCTTCCTACAGGACATCCAGAATCGCTCGCATTGTTTTCTGGAGACTCAGCTCCCGCATTGCTTTCCAAAGCAAAGGCTAAGGCGCTTTGCAAAACTGTCCAAAGACACAGCGCAGCGCTCCGAGGTGGACAGAAGGGTGATTGACAAGAAGAAGGGAGGAGGGAGAAAGAGCCCCCACTGAAGAGGGGTCGCCTGTATTTGTTACTTGTTGAAATTCCCATAAAATTGAACAAGACCCTGCTCTCATATGGGTTAAGTCAGGCTAAAATCCTCTTCGGTGTGGTCCAGCCCAGACTGTCTTTGTTTAGTTAACCTCCAAGACCCGCATTTAAAAGGGCTATTTGGAAAATTTCCCCGTAAGAACCCAACATCTTTTACCCATTTCTATGCCTTGTTTTCTCTGCCAATGCCCCCCTTTTGCAGATTTTTTTCTCTCTCCCTACATATATATTTTCTACGATCACCAGAGTGGCAGGAGGGGAAGAGAAGGAAGGGGGGGGGGCGCATTTCCCCTCCGGTTATAGAAATATATTGGATCTGCTTTAATCTCTCCCGCATTTTGAAAGATTAGCGATTTTTTTTGGTAGCCTGTAGAACTTCGGAGATATTTAACGCCTTTCCTCCCAATTGCGCGTGCTATAAACCTCCTTGATTTTGTTTTGTTTTTTGTTTTTAATTTTTTATTTTAATGAGCTTAAGGACTTTACGATTCTTTATGGTTTCCCTAGTAGTTCTGGCTAAGAACATATATATTCTTAGCCAGAGCTAAGAATACACACACGCACACACAAATGGATATATATTCTTAGCCATAGATAGATAGATAGATAAACACACACACACAAACGTATTCTTAGCCATAGATAGATAGATAAACACACACACGAACGTATATATATTATATATATATATATATATATATATACACACACACACATACATACACACTTCTGTCCATCATCTTTGGCTAAGAATATATATATATTATATATTATATATATATAATATTCTTAGCAAGAGTTACTTGGAAAACCATAAAGAAAAGAATAGTAAAATTATTTATATATACATGCACATAGGTATACACACACCACACACACATGCTTGGGGGGGCATTAAAACAGGTAAGAAACTCTGAAATTGACAAAGCCCACGTGAAATTGACAACGCCTATGTGAAACTGAGCGCACGCATATGAAACGGAGTGCCTGTATCTGAAGGTGATACAAACACACACACGTAAATACATATATAAAATGATCTTGAAAATACTGAGAGCGATCACCCGGACGCTCTAAAAACACAGCCCCCAGTAGTGTTTTTTTCCTTCTCTCTCTCCCCTTATCCCCCCCCCCCCACAGCAGTAGGGGAGAGTGTTTCCACCAAGAATAGGGCTCCCCCCCGCCCCCCATGCGAAGCGGGTTGTGTTTGCTCTCCTCCGGCGGAGCGCCACAACAGCCGGCCCTGTCTGTATCTGGCAGCTTCTCTGCCCTGGGGGCCGGAGCCAGGCGGGTCCAAGCGCGAAGGAAGCCCCTTGCCCCTGCCCCCAGAAGCGGGTCTGGCCGCGGGGGGCGGGGAGGGGCAGGCGCCTACCTGAGAGGTCTTCCCGGGCGTTCTGGTGCAGGTAGCTCTGCTCCAGGGAGTAGGAGGACATGCTGGAGTGGATGCCCGAGGGGGCGGCGTTGCTGGGCGGCAGGGCCTGCTGCTTTATGTAGGGCGATGCCCCTGAGGCTGTCCAGTGAGCCGACGGGCTGGCGTAGGGGGAATGGCACTCGATGGCACTAGCCATGGCGGGCGAGGAGGGCACGGGGCTGCTGCTGCTGTCCGGGCCGTACTCCCCGTTGGCAGGCACGGGGCAGCTGGCCATGTAGGTCGAGCCCGGGTTGGGGGACATGTGCGGCACGTGGTGGCCCTCGTAGGCGCCCGCCATGGAGTTGGGCATCATGTCGAGGTTGTAGCCATTGGCGTGGCAGGCCAGCGGGGCCGAGGGCGCCTGGAAGTCGAAGCCCTGCGGCAGCAGCGAGGCGCTGAAGCCCAGCCCGTTCATCATGCGGTACATGGGCTTCAGCGCCTGGCACTTGCGGCGGAAACCCCGCGGGCGGCGGCGGAACGAGCCCTCCTCGAACATGAACTCGCTGGCCGGGTCGATGGTCCAGTAGTGGCCCTTGCCCGGGCGGCCCAGCCCCTTGGGCAGCTTGATGAAGCACTCGTTGAGCGAGAGGTTGTGGCGCACCGAGTTCTTCCAGCCCTGGTAGGAGCCGCGGAAGAAGGGGAAGCGCGCCTGCAGGAACTGGTAGATCTCGCTCAGCGTCAGGCGCTTGGAGGGCGAGCTCTGGATGGCCATGACGATGAGCGCGATGTAGGAGTAGGGGGGCTTCTCCGGCCGCCGCA